TGAGCTGGGCTGCTGTCCAGTGCCCACTGAAGTTAATGCAAAGATTTCTGTTGACTTCAGCTGGACATCAGATAGTGCACTTTTACCTCTATTGATGTTAATGCTTACTGACTCCAAAAACCCATACTGGCTGGAAAGGCTGGGTTCCAAGATCAGAATTCTGACAACAAATATATTCTACATAAAATACTTATACACTGGAAAAAATGAAAACTGAATACAGCTTCTTATCAAGCATAAAAATAGAGATAACATATGATGAAGGCAGTAGGGCTAATAGAAACTAGAATGGAGAGGAGAAGGATCTGGCAAATTAATACAATTGCACAGTGAAAGAATGGAGGAGTCAGAGATTTATATCACTAAAGCAATAATGCACACATGGGGGAGCACTGATGTATTCATATGGTGGTATTAAAATATCAGACAGAGAATTAAAAATAAATAAGGAAAAACTAAGACAGTGAAAGAAAAAGGTTCCATACATTATTCAAAATGTTCTTATCTGTAAATTTAAATAAAAGCAAAAGTTAGACAAATTTTTCAGGAAATTTCAAATTCCTGTTTTTTGTGATGAATGAATTAGGAATGAGAATAAGCAAAAACATAACAAGAATAGCAGATATAACATATTTGGTTATCAAATACCAGACCATACTGAAGAAATGGGGCAAATAAATATACATGATGTTGTTAAGAAATGCAGGGCTGAGTATATTAGAGAAAAGTGTGTAGTCACTTTCATAATTTGTAGGTTTATGATCTCCAGAAAGGGCCTTTTGAATGACTTTTAAGTTTGGTGAGGACTACTTTCAGATGTGTAGCCTCATTCAAAAGAACATGGGATGGGAAATGTTTAAACAGAACAGAAAAAAACCATGCTACTATTATATATATCAGTGCCATGGTTTTAAACCAATAACTAAGAAAATTACTTATTTCTTGCTGTGAGATATGGATTAGAACAAGAGCAAAACAGGCATAAAACTTAAAAGAAAAAAAAGAAAGTTTATTGACAAACTACAGTAATAAGAACACCAGAATAAACTTCCAGAAAAAACCTTTTCATCCCCTATCTACCCACTATTCCCTTGTTCACATGACAACAGAGACAAAAACTTTGGAACTGATGGTTAAAACAGTCCCAGGCTGGCCACGTTTATCATCTATTCAGGTATAGACAGAATAGGTTCTTTCAATATTATCACACTCCATTCCAGACAAAAAACAACCAAAGAACAAAAAACTAAACCAAAAATCCCCCAGCATTCAGAGAAGACTAAAAAGGATGAATTTCAGCTAAAAGAGGCTGATCTCCCCAGCCTGCTTCCTAATAGAGAAAACCTCCCTTGAGACCAGGTGGACTAGCCTTTGGCTCTGCAACAGCTTCCAGAGACACCTCTCCATTCCTAATTGCTGTCAACTTTGATTAGGAAGATCATTCTTCCTGGATTCCAACAGACTCTAACTGGAATGATACACATGAATGCTTTTGCAGAGAATATAATTCCAGGGTCAGTTGGTCTTGTATCTTCCTCTGATATGTCTAAAACTCATTCTGGTGGTCATGTGGGCTGTTTCTTTAAGGAAGATTACTTTACTTCAGTGTAAATCTTTGTGCAGCTATTTTGGTATTTGGAAGACAGGTTTTCTAAAAATACATGTTTGAAGTTTTGTTTGGTTTGCCTTGTTTCAGAATTTTACAGGCACAAAAATGAGTCAGGCTGTAGATTCTGGGAATGAGCAACTCCCTCCCAGTGCAAAGAACAAGAAAAGGTCTTCATTGCCCAGTGACACAGCATTCACATGATACTGGAAACTACAAATTGCTTAATGGTGTTAGAACAACCTTGTTGTAATATCCATGTAATTTTAAAATCTCCAGCTCTTCCTCAGTGACTTGGCCTCAGGTGGTGTACTGTGCTTTCCTGAACATTTTGTAACGCTTTTCTTCTCATCTATGAGCACTGATTTAACATCTAAAATAGTGCTGTCTTTGCCAAACAAATATTTGTGTGTTTTCCATGGTATTTATTTTGATTGCTGTATTAATGTGATGTTTTTAATTCTGGGCTAAACTGAGGGATAAATAACATAGACAAAAAGCTTCTGTTCATTTCGCTGTATAGAAGGAATCACCAGGCACCCTAATTTTGCACTGAGCATAGGAGTAGCAGCTTCCATATGTTACATCACCTTTAACTCCTGTCTTTGTTTTTGATATACCAAATTTTGAAATTTTCTAGATTTGCATCTTTGTTCTGGCAAATCTCATTGCAGGAATGAGTAAGCATTTTGGGATTTGGTCTGAGGACTCTGCCCTTGTAATATTATCTTTGTAGATACAGAATTAATTTTCCACCTGAAATCATGATCCTCTGCCTTTATCACATTATAATCCTCCTCACAGCAACCATTTGTGATACTGCAGGCAGATTATGACTTCAAGAGAAGAATGAGCCTCAGCAAACAGAAGCAGATGAGCTCTTAAAGAGATAAAGATCTCATTTTCTTGCTAGAAATAAACAGCAAAAGTGAAAAAATATGGAAAGTATCAAGGCAAAACATTGTCTATAAACAGATTTTTCTGGAAATCACAAGTGACTTTCCCATAGTGAAACATAATAATCAATAAACCTGGACACGTTTTGAGGTGAAGCCACTTGGTGAGACAGACCCACATACTTAAATCCCCATTTGGCATGCGTTTCTAAGCACTTTTAGAGCTGCTTAGCTTCTATCAAATTCTTCTGTTACATAAACATACTTTCCCAAAGAGTTTTATCCAGCTAATGGGATGGGAGTGTGGCGAGGGAGCAGTGCAGGGCATATCACAAGGCTTTGGCCAGTGGCCCTCATGTAAATAAAACATAATGCATTTAACGTTTAGGAAATCTATTCTGATTTCAGAACTTAGAATAGATTTGCTGGGTGGTTTGGTCTCTTAAGGAAAATTTTCACTTGCTATGGGATAATCCCCGATGCAAGTAGCATTTTTTTTCTAAAAGAAAATTTCCAGAAGCAGTAAGCCCCAGTAGTATAGCAGGCTCCCTGAGTTGTGTTTTCCCTCTCATCCGGAATAGTCCCTAGTATCATGTTGAATGATACATTGTGAGTATCTGTTAGCTACTTCATAGCCTAGAAAGAAAATGGGACAATAAGCTTTCCCACTGCAATAGTGTGCCAGGATCTCAGGTTTACACCTTTGAATGTTTGGAGATCCTCCTAAATCTGCAGAGATCTGCTGGCTGCAGTGGCTTTCACTGTGCTGCTTGCTTTGGTTGATATGGGCAGGGTCCTGCTTCCATTCAGATACGGGGTGTCAGGTCTGTCCTTACCTAAACTCGGAATGATTCCAATGCTTCCGTAGAGTAGGAGGGATCATAAAAGAAGATTCAAGACATTTTGGCTGTACCTTTGCATCATATGTATTTCACAGCCCTGATGCGCTGCATACGTGAACCTCCCAGACTGACTAAGTAGATTTGGGCTCTATTTCTGTCCCTCCTCTCCAGTGTTCATGTGTAGAAGGTTGTTCCCTGCAAGTTGCTTCACCTTTCCACTCCAGCCTTTTTACATCATCTGTTGCATGCAGTGTGTGAATCTATAGCAGTTACTAGCATGTGTATGTAAATGTGTGTTTGTGCCTTTTGGCCATTTAAGGGTATATTTACTTAATGTGGAACATCTTTAAATAGTGATGATAGATGTTTGTCTGTCCATCTGAGTGTCCAGGACAAACTGTTGCAGTCTTCCTTTGCAGTCTCATGAACATTAGTGGAGGAAATCAGTTTTCACAGAGCCATACTTTTGATTGTTTCAATTTACCAACATAACAGCATTTTAGCATAACTCTTCTGTGCTGATTTCCTAATTAAAACAACAACAAAAAAGGCAAAACAAATCACAAAACCCAAAAACTAATGGAAGAGGGGGAGAAAAAGAACAGCAGGTTTATGTGAAAATGTACTGCTCCCACTAGTTTTCTGCTGGCAGCAATTCAGGATATTTAGATTCACAGCATAGATTTCTGCAGTTTTATCTGAAATCTAACCTTGCAGAAGTTTGATTCTAAAATGCTGGCTTTGTTGCATAAGGACTTGAGCAGAGGTATTCTACTAGACGAAAAAAGAGAGTAGAAAATTAGGAATTGTTGCATCTATTCTTGGTTTGAAAATAAATATGGTCCTTAAACTGCAGACTGTCACTAAGGACAGATTTGGCTCACCTATTCTGAAAGCTGATATGACTGAGTGAATGATTATTTACAACCTGGCCAAGTTTAATATCAACCAACATTGTATTCAGTACAAATGGCCCTTGTCAGACTTGTGCATGCTCATGAGGGGACTCGGTGAAATGAGAGAATGCTCATTGGAAATGCTCTGCAAGTAGCAATAAAGGGAGAGAATTATACATGTTGCCATTAAAATAATGAAATTCTGTAAGGCCATGTGACATTCTGGATGATGCTCAGAGGTTTTCCCAGAAAAAAAAGCATTTCTGAAGGGCAGCTTTTCCTGAGTTTATTAATTTGGCCAAATATACCCATATTTCTGAGGTGATATAATAGTTGCCACCTATCAATTTTTCTTCACTTTCATTCTCAGGAAAGAAGTCCACATTTTCAGCCCATGCTCCCTAAAACCATTTCTCATGAGGCCAAGAATTAACCTGGAAAATTGTAATTATAAATTTTAAATTAGAACTTTTTAGTTATAAATAACTAAAAGCGTGAGCTTATAAAGAAAAGCAACAGGAGTTTCTGCTACTGTCTGTGTCTATAATACATATAATTGAGCGATATAAATCAAATGTGACATTAACAGCACTTGGCAACATCTCTTTATTGTTACATGCAGTGTATATGGACATTATGTTAATTTAAGGTGAGCATGCCTGTCCCTTGAGCTGTTGTTAAGATCCTGTGTGATTTTGCTGTTGTTACACATCTCCATTTTGGGAGATGCCAAACACAATGGTGGTGTTTTCTCTTACAGGGCTTTAGATCCAGTCCTCGCCATGCCAGGAGACGTGTAACACCTCGCCTGGAGGAAACACAGCCTGTGGTGGAAGCTCACCATCTAAGTGAGCAGGAAACTTCTGTAAGAAAAAGAAAAATCAAGAAAAGCAGCCGAGTCCAACCAGAATTTTACCATTCTGTTCAAGTCACCCCAACTCGAAAACCTGTAAGTATTCTACCTTTAGGGATAAATAGCACTTAAAGTTATAAAAACACTTATAATTAGAGGCATGTAATATAATTCTAATTTTTTGGCTATTCATATTCTCTTCCTCAGCTTAAAAACCTTTTCAGCTCTCATATTTGGCAGCAAATCCAGACAAAATTTGCTAAGACTGTATTTAATGTTGATGCATAACTCTAAAAAATAATCCAGTTCTGAAGAGGGTTCTTTGAATTTTGGTTTTTAAAATTTATTATTTAGACTATAGACTATAATCAAATCAGATATTTAATTTGATAGTTTTATAGTGATATTACTTAACAGGTTTTTATAGAAAATGTGCATTTTGTTGAAATTCCTTACTCAGATTTAACAGAGATGCTATGTACTGAAACAGATTTATACTAAATATCATTACTAGATCAAATTTTGAGGTCTCTTCTACTTTATACAGTGTTTACAATCTTTCTGCTCAACAAAACTTAGATCAAATCTCATAATTCTTTGCTCCTCAGCTTGATTTACACACAGTTCTTTCAATACTGAAAACCTACTTTTAGTATGGAAATATGACAGTTTGTTGAGACATACGGTTCCTAATGTAGATTTACGTGAAGACATATTCTGTTCTGCAGGCATAATGCATTTTTGTTTTTAATGAGAGCTCATTGCTTTGACACATTTTCTGAATAACTTTTCTGTGCTGGTGTTATGGTGCTTGAACAACTTCTATGAAGTCAGTATTATTGAAGAGGTAACTATGGAGCATACCCTAAACCAGATTATCTTGCAGTTGCTGGAACCTAACTGAGCCTTTTCTAGATTAGTGTTAACTGAGCACCAAGAAGTATCAGTGAGCCCTGAAGAAGGTTTGAGGAAGCATTCCTTAGTGGAATTACATTGCCTGAGAGAAAGAGCAACTTCTGCAAAGAAAACCATAGTTGCCAACAACTGCCAGAATTTTTCTCTATTATCTGGATTTGTTCCTCTGCGTTCACTTCACTAGTCCCCACTTCCCTCAGTTCTCTCTTGCTTCTATTTATGGTTTATTTTACACTGCTCATGTTTTTGTGATTTATCTGATGGATTTGTCTTCTACTCTTCTTAAAGGATCTGCTGTCACTTTCTTCTCAACCATCTCCCTTTCACTCCCATCCTATCTTACTTTCTGGACTACTTTGTCTAGCTCTGTTACTAGGTCTCCAGCCTCCTACCAGGCTCCCTCTGTTCATTATTCACTTCTGGTCCTTCCTCTGCTCTGTTGTCCTTCTTTCACCTCTTCCATCATCAGTCCTTATTTTTCATACTGCTCCTCTTGGGTCTGTTTTTTCATTCCCTTTTTTGTTTATTCCCTTTTCCATGGTAGGCCTATGCCAAGGGTAAGCCTGCCTGTCACTGCTGAGGCTTAACCAATTGCCAGTGATTACCAACATTGGAAAAAGAGCATCAGTGCCACTGAATTAAAGAGCTGAAACTGTAGAAATGGTGTAAAGCAGCAAAACAAGCTTGGAAGAACGGATTAGTGAAGCTAAGAAAGCCCTGCTTTTTCCAAAAGTCAGTAGCATGTCAGGGACTTAAGAACTAGCAAAATAAAAAAATAAAATAAAAAAAATAGAAAATGTGCAGCGTTACTATGTAACCTCATTTTTGTATCATTTCATGTGTCTGCTAAGATCTACCACTGTGTGCTAGGGTGTCCTAGGTTTCAGTGAAACAATAATAAATCCCAGATTTAGAGAAAACTTCTCTCAGCTGTCATCATTATGTCACTCCCTTGAAATTGCTCTTGCTGCATATCTTTTATAGAGTTATACAGTTCTTTTGATAGTTTTTCCTTCTACAGCCTTGATGAATGCACATTTCTACCAAAAAATACATTTTCTTTATTAGACTACAATCCAGAAAACATAAGTCACCAATTTAATTTCTCATGGACATTGTAAGTTATTCTGACTGTATTATTAATGCCATGGTGACAGGGTGAGTAAGGTTTATGCCACTGCCATGACAAATCACTGCAGTGTTGTGAAGTTCCAGGCAGTCACCAGGATGTCCATCCTGCAGTTTATTGTACCTTCATCCCACTTAGTCTCAATGCCTTGAAGTTGAGAGACTTTTGACCTTCATCTTTGTACAGTTTTACATGATTCAGTGCCAGAAATGCTCTTTTTAATCTGTATAATTTCTTTTCCCTTTTCCCCCCTGCTATTCCTAGTTCTGCCCACTTGAACCGCTCTAAATAAATCATCTGTTGTCTTGATGTTTACATTAACAGCCATATTCTGCTGAATCATCACTTGAAAAAAGTAGTGTATGGTATTTGCTAACCAGAAGACATAATTTCTCTCATAGAACAGTTCTCCTTTTTGGTCTGTTTTCTGTCCCTACTCATGCCTTTTTGTCCCCCTTTTTTTCTGACAAGAATGGTATCTCCAAAGTAGCTATAAAAGACTTCATGGAAATCTTTTCCTTTGCTCCAGCAAATTTTTAAGTCCTGAAATATGTTAGCCTGTTTTGTTGTCATATCAAGATATATGCATAAAGACTTTTCAGATATTTCATTAAAAGCTTTGGTGGATATTTAGATGCTAGGCTTTCTTATTCTTGCTAATTTAGACTATTTTGTATTTGGTTGGTTTTGTTGTGTCTAAATCTTGTTTTGCAGTTTCCTAGCTACTGCTATAATTATCTGAATTTTCTTGTATTATTTCTTACTTCCTGCATAGCAATCTGAGATCTTTCCAGTATTGTTCCTGATCTTGTCAGAACTAAATTAGTTGTAATTGTTTGGATGGGAGTAATCCTGCTGAAGACAATAATTGCTCCACTTGAATATCTACATGAGGAGATGTTTGGAGAAATAGAACAGTTTTATCTTAAAATTTAATTGTTTTTTTTTACAACTTCCAGGTCATTAATAGAGACATTAAATATATTTTGTGCTAATATTGATCCTTGCCAAACAAAGTTTATAAGCCATTTTCTTTTTTATTTATCTCACTCTAGTGCAACATGAACACAGTGCTGAGGCTTCCCCTTTTAGGCTATATTGTTATATCACGTGCCCAGTAGGTCACCCTCTCATTAGTGGCTGCATTACTTGTGCTGACATTCTCTATAGGTGACAGTTTTACATCAGCTTCATGTGGAGGAGAGTACAGATACCCATTACTCACATGTACTTTGAATTTTTGAACACAATGGAGAACTCTTGAGAACAAAGAGAACCGTGTTTTTTAGATTGGTGTGACTGCCTGCAAGTCAAGGGAGTGTTACATATTGCTCCTTTCACAAGCTGAGTACCTGATTCTGTATAGGTAATTAAATTTTCTGAAAGTGCAAGAATCTCTTGTGAGTGTGCTGCTGCCCAGCAATACTTCTCCAGGTCAGATTTTAAACTGAGGGTTCTATTACAAGTATTTTCAAAATATTATTTATATTTTAAATAGCACTTGTGCTCCAAAGCAAAGTACAAAACATTGCAGATTATTCACAGGTGGCCTTGAGTTTGTGTAAACATATGTGGCTCCTGAGCTGTAGGGTTAGTTAGATGTACAGTTCTGCCAAATGATGTTTGTATGTCTATGAACATAATTGAAACAAGATGCTGTCAAAGCAGCATCTTTTGACATCTCTGTTGTTAAGCAGAGGGGCTCCTAAATCTACTGTCTTGTGCAGCCACCAAGGATTATTTACAATCATGAGATGTAGTACCAAAATTTGCACTTTTGCTTGTCATGATCACTGTAAGATAAGTGGTAGATGAGACTACAGAGACAGGGTGATAGATAAACCTGTCTTCTTCACTTTCAGATGTGAAAGCCCTCTTTCTGCTCAAAGGCCTTGTACTTTGCACACCCAAAGATGATCCGTTTTGCCCAGAACTGTAGCAACAGCTTACATTGAGGTGATTATTTACTGATTATTGTTACAAAGGAAAGTATCCCTGAAAAAACCTACAAAGAATAAACTGTTGACAAATAATCTCAGAACCACTGCTGATTGTAGGTATTCCTCAGGGTCTCCTAATTTACCTGTTTCTAATTATTTAAAGACTGGCCTTTGCTGAAGCAATTTAGCTCCTTTGGGTGGGTGCAGCATTGCTACAAGTCATTACAAGGAAAACAGAGAGAGGTCAGATGTCTGGGAGGTCACATCTGAAAAAAAACTCATTTGAGCAGCTTCATTTGGCTCCACTGAGACTAATCTCATGGCTAAAGTGAAGCTTGCACTAGGAATACCCTGATGAAGAAACCATGAAAGCAAAGTTTGATCAATTTTTAATGCATGTAAAACCATAGGCTGTCCCATTCATGGTCTTTTCAGCTATCCCGGTTTTTACTTATATGTTGTGTTTAAACCTTAGAACTTGTGGGAAAATCAGTATTAGAATTCTGTCTGAAAAACACTTAAGAGTTTTTTTAAATATCTGATACTAATTTATATAGAAGAATTTTATAGAAGTCTCAGAAGTCTCTAATTTCTGACACCTTACTTGAGAAATGTATGATTTTTATACGGGTAATGTGATTCTACAGGGCCCTTTAGGAGTTTTTAACATGTCTCATTAAATAATATCAATTTCATTAATTTTCATTTATTCTTACTCTGATGTTATGTACTAATTTTCCAATATCACTATGTCCTTTGCGTGCTATTCGAATGACCTAAAACGTATGAGATGCAAATATTGCCCATCACCCTGCACAAGACTTGGTCATTTCCAACTACTAGCTATTTAATCTATAGATTGCATTCATATCTTCTTTCTTTTGGAGACATCTGCTCATGCTGGATTGTGTCTCCTGTGTATTGCATTTAGAAGCAAACTTGGCAAAACATTATCATGCCCTCTTTCACTTTCAGCATTTTTATTAACGTTATATTAGCGTTCTCAAATGTATGACAAAGCTGTGAGCTGTCAGATTCTGCATGCACGTGTGCACACACACATGCACAGATCCTCTCTCAGGACAGTCTGAGCACAGCCATAATGAACAAAC